GGGGGAAATCACAGGACGCCTCGCGAGGCTGCAGAGGTGGGCGGGTGCGGTGGGGAGCTCGGAGGCTTGGCAGGCTCCTGGGCTGTGGAAAGAGGTTACCAAACGTGCGTGTGTGCGTGTGCGATCTGCCATTGCTCTTCAGGCCAACTTGTCGCCTTCCATCTCCACCCTCCTTTGGGTCTCTGTAGCTGCCCTGCCTGGATGGAATCTATTGTCTCTGCCCGCTCTGTGGTTTTTTCTCAGCCCAGCTGGGGAGTTCTGAGCCGGCCAGTCCCAGCAAGGCACCGGAGATTCTGCAGCACAGCTACCGCAGCTCCCAGAAGTGGGCTGGCGCCACCCCTTCTCTTTCTAAACTACCTGACTGGGATGTGGCCAAGCAGATGTAAGCAATTTGCACTGAATTCCAGCCCTTTCTCAGTTCTGAATGAAAACTTAACTCTATTGCTGCCCTGTCCTCGAACGATGTAAGGAAGACGAACAGCCTAGGGAGTGACCGCCCTGACCCCCAATGCTTTTCCTTTCCCCCACTGTGGCTGCAGATCCCGGAACACGGGCCACGAACCTTTGGACTCTCAGCTCCTCTGGGGTTGTGTCCTCGGAAAAACTAAATGGAGGCATATTTTATGGCTCTGCTTGGCAGCTGGTGGCTCTGAGCTGGAACCCTGGACCCGGGCTGTGGCTGCTTCTCTCTTGGCTTTTGAGTGAGTTTGATTTCCAGGGCTCTGCACTTCCTGCTGAGTGTGGGTGTGATCAAGCTCTCACCTGGTGGAGAGGCAGATTGTTCATCTTCCTTTGCTCTGGGGCTGAGTGAGGAGGGCCCGGGAGGCAGGCCGGGGTGAGAAGTGTCAGTTCATCTGAAGCCCTGGGCATTTTTCTGGGTGCTCCTTTTTGAACTTTCCCAGCAGTCTGGAATGCCTGTGGCCTAGTTGTGTTCTGACAAACACTCCGAGCCCAAGGGGTGCATGATTCTCTCTCTGATGCCCCACCCTCCCTAAGCCTGGTACTCTGCAGATGTCTCGTGTCCATGGTCCCTCAGCCTAGACAGTCGTGAGGGCCATTGGAGTCTCTGTTCTCTTTGGGGTTTGTAGCTTGATACAAACTTCCAGCTCCTCGTGTTCTCGTCACATGTGAGCCTGAACAACACCATGTGAGACGACACCGCGGAGAAAACAGTGTCCGGAGGCACAGGCTGGCGTCCAAGTGCAACTTGCTCCCCAGCTGTGTGAGCACCGACAGTCTGTGCGCCTGTCTGTTCACATACTTGTAAAATGGGGGGATACGTGGCCCACAGGTTGTTTTATGGGTGAAATACTTACCGTGATGGGGTGAGTAAAATTGTGTATGCAAAAGCACTCCGGGAAGCACAGTGAGCTCCGCAAATGTTGGTGGTTCATCCTGGGTTTGGGGATGGCAGAGCAGTCGGCGGTGTGGATGGGGAGGGGCGGAGGCTGTGGAGTAGGGAACGTTCCAGAGCTTTCCTGCGTGGCTGAGGGAAGACTGACGTGATGACATGAAGGCAGTCATTCCTTAAGTCTTCCTCAGAAATAGAGTGGGGCGGGTGAGAACCGGGAAAGATGGAGTGGTTGCTTAGTATCTGTAGAGAGCTGGGGAGGGACGGACACCTTCTCAGGGCTGGCTGCTGCCTGTAGACGGGGTAGCGCTGAGCTGGCAGGTGACGGGACAGCTGACACTGCCTGACAGCAGCCAGTGTGTAAGTGACAGATGGGGTGTGGAGCAGCGTCTTCCTGCCCACCCTGTGCTCATAACCGGTGAGCCACTGCCAGACATGCGGGGTCTTCAGAGAACAGGAAGGAGGGGCAGAGCTGCAGGATTCACTTGTACAGGGTTCCCAAATGGCTGTGAGAGGGCCCCAGACGGGAACCTCCCAAGGACGAGTCCCTCCATCTGGCCCCCGCTAGTCTCCTCATTTTAGGTGTCCCTCCTTGTGCTGTACCTTCTTCAAAACACTGCTTAGCCCCTTTTCTCCTGGGCCTTCCTCTTTAACCCTAGCCAGTCCTAGTCACTAGAGCCTAAGCACTGTCGTCCCCCACAGATATCTCTTTGACATTGCCTTCTTTAAAAAAATTTTTTTGGGTACGTGTTTGAAGCGCACGGTGATTTGGTTCCTCGTGGTGAGTTGGTAATGTACATAACACATCTTTTTTCATCCTCTTCCCAGCTCTCCATCTATCGGTCCCCTTCTTTTTTGAAAAAAAAAAAAAAACTTTCTCCGTATTTCCTATTATCTATCTTTTATTTTTCTCTCGTTTCTATTTTGAGTTTTTCATATAGGAGAAACCATGCAATGTTTAAGTTTGTGTGTGGCTGATTTATTTCATTTAACATGATCTCTAGGTACATCTGTTATCCTACAGGTGATTCAGGTTTATCCTTTATTGCAGAGTAGTTCTCCATTATGTACAAATGCCAGTTTCTTCATCCGTTCTTCTGATGATGGGCGTATAGGCCACTTGCAAGATTCAGCTGCTCTGAGTTGTGTGGTTCTACACATGGGTATGTGTGGATCATAGCAACATGATGTGTTTAAATCTTTCAGGAACACACCTAGATAGGGAATAGTTGGCTCAAATGGAATTCTATGTTTAGATTTTTGAGGGATCTCCATACTGATTTCCACAGTGGTTCAACTAGTTTACATTCCCGCCAGCGACATAGAAGGGTTCCTTTTCCCCACAGCCTCGCCAGCATTTGTTATTGTTTGATTTGTTGACAAATCAAAATCTGTGCTTTCTGGAGTAAAGTGGAATCTTGGTGGTGTTTTAATTGCTCTCATGGCTGAGATGTTGAACATTTTTTTATGCATTTCTTCTGTAAAGTGTCCGATTCAGTTGTTCCTTTTCTTCTCGGCAGTTCTTCTGTCTGTGCTTTGTTCCTGAGTCTGCCTCCGCCCCAGTGAGGCCTGTCATTGAGGTTACTTTCTGACCCGTTGCATCCTTTCCCTGATGAGAGCTACGCCGCGCTTGTGGTTCTCTCCTCAGGTCCGGGGAAGCCTGCGACCAGGAATAGCTTGCCTGGGAGGGTTCTTTCCTGCCTGTCCGCCTGTCTCCCTTTCCCACTCACTAGTTGGTATCCTTTGCAGTAAACCAGCAGGCATAACAGTGAGGGGAAAATAATAGAGGGCCAAAGAGATTCTGTGTTCTTTTTTTTTTTGGTACTGGGAATTGAACTCAGGACCTTATGCTTGTGAGGCAGGTGGTGGAACTACTGAGTTAAATCCCTGTCCCCAAGATACTATTTTTAAACACTTTTTTATTTTATTTTGCGGGGGTGGAACCTGGTATGAACTTGGGACCTTATGCTTGTGAGGCAGGCGGCGGCACCACTGAGCTAAATCCCTGGCCAAAGAGATTCTATTTTGAAATGCTACAGTTCTCCTTGCTCAATAGGAGAAACAGGCAGGAGCTCTTGTCTTGGTTCACAAACTGACCTCAAGCCAGGTGACAGCAGGGATAGATCTTTCAGCAGTTGCCATCTCCCTGCTGCCCTGAAAACCAAGCATCTGTCCTCTTCTGGAGTGGCCAGGCAGTTGTGTCTTCTAGGGGGGATGGATGTCAGGTGAGTAGAATGCCTTGGGAACAGGTGAGGTTGCCTGCAAATTAGATGTGGTGGGGACTTGAAAGAAAGCAAAGAGCTGGGTGTGGTGGCGCACGCCTATAATCCCAGCACTGGGGAGGCTGAGGCAGGAGGATGTCATGAGTTTGAGACCAGCCTGGGCTACATAGCAAGTACCAGGGCAGTCTGAACTGTCTCAAAAAAAAAAAAAAGAACACTGCAGCCAGAGTGTTAGATTTCCACTCTAGGTCCTAATAAGGTGGGTTCATTTTATTTTACTTTTTGATATTGAGCACTGAACCCAGGGCCTTCACACTGAGCTAAGTCCACAGCCCCCCAGTCCTAGTCCTCCTCTTTTTTTATTCTTTATTTTGTGGCAAGGTCTCACTAAGTCATAAGTTCCTCAGGCTGGGCTTGAACTTGTGATTCTCCTGCCACAGCCTCCCTGAGTGCTGGGATTCAGGCGTGGATCACCGCACCTGGCTAAAGAAAGCAAATTTTTTTAAGTTAAGAGAATGAATAGAGATCACATAAATGTGTATAATTATGACTTATCAATTAATAGAAATTTAAAAGTTAAATTCCATTAAGAAAAGAAAGAAATGGAGATGAAGGCCAATCATGGTGGCACGTGTCTGCAATCCCAGCTCTCAGGAGGCTGATGCAGGAGGCTTTGTTTTTTTTTTTGTTTTGTTTTTTTGTATCGGGGATCGAACTCACGTCCTTGTGTTTTCAAGGCAGGCGGTTGAACCACTGAGCCAAGTCCCCAGCCCCAGGAGGCTCTTTTTGAGTTTAAGGCCATCCTGAACTACATAGCAAGAATCTGTCTCAAAAACAAAGCCAAAAAAGAAAGAAGTAGAGGTAAAGGGAGGAAGGAGAATAAGTGAGAGAAAAAAAATGTAGTTCCTTGACAAGAGGCTCTGAGATACGGAATGGTTCCAAAGAGTTGGCAAATTCTCAGAAGTCTGCTTTGACTCTGTTGCAGGTGATCCCCACAAACAAGGCAAATACAGACATCCCTGGGCAAGTTCAGGTACACAGAGAGGAGAGAGCACACGGTGAAAAGTAGTCAGATCGTGTCCACCTGTAGTGCCCTGAACTGTGTGTGTGTGTGGTACTGGGGATCGAACTCTGCCCCTTGCAAGGCAGGTGGCAGAACCACTGAGCCAAATCCCCAACCCCATAGTGCCCTGAACATTATCTTCTCTTCAGCCCCAACCTGGGAGAAAACAGGTGATGATGAAATTGTTCCCCCTTTATGAATGGAGAAAAGGAGATTTAGAAAGGTTAAGAAACATGCGCAAGATTGTACAACTAGTTAGAGAAGACCCCACATTGTTTTTTTTTCCTTTTGGTTTGGGGTCCCCCCTCCCCCACAGTGCTGGGTAGGAATCCAGGGCCTCATTCCTCTTAGACAAGTCCTCTGCCCCTGGGCCACATCCCCAGCCCCAGAGCCCAAGTTTGAGTCTAAGTCAGGATACCTCTAGACCTTATGTTTCTTCTGTGCTGTATAGAGGACCTGAGAGAAAAATATCAAGGAAGCCCAAGTCCTGAATGAGATAGCCAAGAGTTAAGTAACAACAGAAGCGGCTCTGAAAGTCATCTCTGGGAAAGGATGTGATCTCAAAGGGTTAAGTCTGGCGGATAATTTTTGGTTTTTTTGGTACCAGGGGTTGAACTCGGGACCTTGCACTTGTGAGGCAGGCAGTGGAACCACTGAGCTAAATCCCTAGCCCCTGTTTTGGCTTTTTTTGAGACCGGGTCTTTGTAGTTCAGGCTGTCCTCTAACTCACTGTGTAGCCCAGGCTG